ATGCTGTTGTACTGGGTGGAATGATAATGAATATGGACATTGTAGTTTATTTTGAGTCAATCCCATACTCAATAGAGCACCAACTGTGTAATAATCCGCAGTCAAAAATAGTCCCAAACAAACTGCTGTATTTACTCCTCTTTTAGTAACATTTGCTAAATACTACAAGGCCCTGCTGTTTTAGGAAGCCATTTGTAAAAATGGATCTATGTATTTATGATATTTTTAAACATTCACATCTGCAGTAGGGCCCAGTAGACACTGGACTAAGGAACAGGGAATTCAGACAGTATTTCAAGATAGAATAGCACTTTAATAACATATGGGTTTTGGTGTTTTCATTGTATTTGGTGACAATAAGAAAAAAATATAGAAAAACAACAACAATGTCTTTTACGAGTTGGTAGCAAACAGAAACTATTTTAAGTCCATGTTAGCTTTTTTTGCCGTCAAAGTTTGATTTCCCAACAAAGCAGCTCATTAATGCAACGCTTCTTGTCATCTGCAAAGCAATATCAAATCATCAAGGAAGAGTATCCAACCAGTTTGTGCTCACACCTGCATCATCTGCAATAACAACGCTGACAGCAAGAAATAAAAAGCTTAATTAGGTGGAGTAGATGTTGATCATGATGGATTACCTACTGTATTTCAAGCTAGGTTTATGCTTGTCAGGTTGATGTACTAAACCATACTGGCTGCTTGCAAGATGAAACAATGAAAAAAACCTAATCGATGATCACTGGTGATGTGACATATGAGCGATTTGTTAAACCACCAGAATGGTCCTGGCGGTAAGGCTCAATTTCATCTTTCATCTCTGTCAGTCGAAGACGGAGGCTTATTTATTGCAGTAACCATTGTAAGCCTCACATGGTAGGTTGACATGGACAGCAATCACTTTGGGTCTGCCAGATACCTGCATTGTGTGCATTGATCGACTTGTTTGGGGTCTCCTCGACCCTGAAAAACTGTTGTACAGCTTTAGAATCAGCTTTCTTCAGGGGGGTCGTTATCTTTGGTGTCTTGATTTGAAAATCCTCTTTAATGAGGTTAGAAAATCTAATTTGTTTCTTTTCTTGTTTTTTTCCAGCCCCAAAATAAAATCGTGTTTTAAAAGGAGTGGAGTTTTCTGCTCTCCTCCGTGAACCAAGTTTTCAGTAATTGCACCTCATGGGATTTAGCCTTCATTTATTGTCCAGTGTAGAGGCAAAATCTCCAGCAAAATAAAACAAAATGAGGGTGTCTAAGAAAAACTGACATATTTTTCACTTTTTATACACTGTGCACTCAATTCAACAAATCCTGCTGATCAATAATTGAAACAAGCTCTACAAGCTTAGTTTTTTTTGTTGTTGTTATTGTTTTATTACCATACATTAAATACTTGCATTATATGGGAGTGAATTGACCGTTTGTTAGCTGAGACAGGATTTAAATGTGTTAACTGGTCATTTTTACCTTTTTACTCAGTTAAAAGATACTTCCATACATACAAGGTCAAAAGACAAAAAGAGGCAGCACTAAGTCCCTGAATTGCCATGAAGTGAGAAACAATATCCCTCCTCTTCCTCATCCTCCTCTTCCTCCTGCATGGGGTCAATCTCCTTAAGATATGATAGTAAGAATTTGCATATTAATTTTCCTTGATGCTGCTCTCTTATATGTGTGGCACCAACTGATAAGAACGTCTTGGTGACAGCCTGTGTATCCAACACAGTGTGACGGGAGGAGATAGCAAAAATCAGTGTGCCCAGCTGTAATTCCTCCGCTGGATCATAATGCTGTAATTGAAATTACACTTCCTCCCGTTCTCCAAAATATACCACAAGATCATGTTCATCATTATCAAGCCTATTATGAAGATTTCCCTCTTTTACTTTTTAATTTATAGGTAGAAAGTTTTACCTCTAATCATGCGCAAAAGCAGCATCAATATGTTACAAGATCCAAGCAATCACTGGATATATGAATGTTATCAAAGCTGACAGCTGGCACTACCCCACACATCACTCCAAGTCTGAAATACATGTATCACAACAGATATCGCACACATATTTTTGACATTAGAAGAATCAGAAATTAGACTTTAATGTTCCTTGTGGATTCTTTGGGAAATAGACACTGTTGTGCTTGCTAATAGTATTAAAGCTGCTCTTATTAATGTTTTTACATGATATGAACACTTTGTTACTTTTACGATAACTTAAGGTTTATTTCTGTAGTTTATTTCTGTAGTCAATTTCTGAAGTTGATCGCTAAAACAAAGACCAACAGAGCAAAAAACTCCAGCATTTAGTGAAACAGGTTTTAAAGCTGCACTAGTCAATATTTTTATATTAACACTGGACCAAATGGCGATATGTAATGTGTAGGAGCTTGCAGTTTCACTGTTTTGATTCACTCTCATCACCTTTCATCAGCTGTTTTTCTTTAAAACTCACTGTTCGCAACCTGCCCAACCCCAAACAACAGATAGACAAAGTTAGCAACTAGCTGGCAAGCATAGTGGCGCATTTAGCAGCTAAAGAGTCAGATCTGCAGGATGTAAATAGGAACTTGTTAGCTTACGCAGTCACCTAACAACTTTATACAGTGATAATCTGTCAATGTTGTGTTTATAGCTTGTTAAACTGCCCCCAAGTCGCATCACTTTTACTTGTACTTGAGTATTTTTACTGTATATCTTTACACGACCTATTTACACAAGATCTGTTGCAACACCAAAGATAGTGTCCATGCAATTTTGATTAAAACTGATCAACTTATCTTCTGTAGGTTTCTGTCAATTGTCTTTGTAACATTCATGTCCAAAGCTGCCTTTATGACATATGATACCTTAATGAGTAGTTTTCCTCTCCTTTCATCACCTGTATCTGAGCTGTAGAGGGTCAGACAACACAAGTAGTTTGTATTTTTTTGATGGATTTATGTTACTCTTGTATTTAGAAGGCATGAGACCAAAAGCAACAAAGCATTAAACTACAACACTTTTATGCATGTTAACATCTGAGTGAGATATTGTCTTTGATGCGGTAAAACATCATGTTAACAAAGACAAAACAGGGAGCGATTACATATTTGAGCTTTAAAATGGCTTGATGTGGTCATCCGCACAGTCAGCATTGGAAAAATGTGAATAGAAACTCAGAGTAATGAGCTGGAGTGCCAGAGAGCCGCATGTCTCGACAGTTGATTAATGAAACCCTAACAGAATTGGATTTGAATATCAATGCTGGCCTATTGCTTAAACTGACATTAATTGCCACCTATTAGATTGGCTCTGTACCCCTGTATTTCAAAACAATCACCGCCATTGAGAGATTAGAAGAGAGAAGGGTGGGAGGCCAAGCGAGTGCTCAGAGCTGTATCATTTGTCAGCTTCTGCTGTGTGGTAGGTTTTACAATTACTACCGTTTGCGTGCGTGCAGCGTGCGTGTGTGTGTGAGTGAGTGAGTGATGGAGAGAGAAAGAGAGAAAGAGAGAGAGAGACACTGACAAAAAGAAAAGAAAATTTCTCAGACAACAGAACTCATTACTAGCCCCTTGAGGCTGCATTTTTAACTGTAGCTCACAATATAAAAAATGTTGGACAGAATTAACAAACTAATGATTTAAATAATCTCAAATCAAGGTTTGACTTAATCACTTGTTCTGGGCTCTCATCAGCACATGGACTTTGCTGCTCAGTTAATATGAATTGAAAATGAAGTTTACAATCTCGGCCTGTTTATCATGACAAAACTGTCATGTCAATACACTTTAATTCTCATGTCTAAAGAATAGGTTAATCTTTAAGAAAATCTCTCCCAGCATAACATATTTGAGAATTTGAATATAATTTGAAAATTAAAGGATTTGTTCCAGTAATATGCAAAAACATCATTTGATTTAAAGGAAAGGACACAAGTTTAACTGTTTTACCACGTTATTTTGAATGCATACTTAATGTCTGTACTTAACTCATAAATACTGCAGAATCATTTCATGTCAAATCACCCAGACCCAGCTAGCCAACCCTATCGCCACTATCAATAAACAATAATAACTATATCAATATTTGGTTATTCTCAGCAAGAATCATTATCGGTGATAGATAGATTCAGAGTCGAATGCCAGTGTTTTTAAAAATCTGACATTAGTTACTTTCACTTACAGTATGGTTTAGTTAAGTTAAAGACCGTGGTTAGGGTAGTGCTAGTCCATGGTGTCATTAAAATCAAAAGAGTTAATCCCATTGGGAGCATGAATGTGGCCAGCTTATTATTATCCGTGAAAAAAATCTGTTTATTAGGTTAAGATATGTTGCAGTCTGAATCATTAGTTTCATCTGTACAAGTAGAAATTTTCTGCTGATGATGAATCACGAATGGATGAAAGATCAGGGCCATCATTACAAACGATCCACAGGGCACCATGAAATGCAGGACAGTCTGGTCAACAGTTGTTGAGATAAATGTGGGCAGAAAGAAGGACAGACTAGGCAGCCAGCAGACATCAGCATCATTAGGCTCAGCTGTTAGTGGGTCTAAAATGTCACTCCAGCAAAGTCATTTTGCATTTCTTTGACAGTAATCACTGAAAATGGAACAAGTGTTTCATTTGTCTTTCTCCCCATCTCGCTCTTCTTTATTTGTCTCTCTCCCCCTCTATTTCTCCTCTTTCTCTTACTCCCAGAGTAATTGATATGATATGAACTCTGGCAAGTGTAATCTTCTTTTAATTAAGACCTGCTGCTGGCACTGGCTTCAGACTGATAGTAACTTACGACACTTTTCCTCTCATTTTTCTTCCCCTCTTCTATCATCTTATTTTTCCTCTATTGCTCCTCCAACTCTGGCTCCCTCATCTTTCTCTTGTTATCTCAACACTCAACTCTTTCCTCTAACCCTGTACCCCTCTTCTTATCATCTACACTGTCTACCACTGTCATCCTTTGTTTTCTTTTTTTTCTATCCAATTTCTCTTCTCCCTTGTCGATTCTCCCTCTTTTACTGCAGTCCCAGCACCATGAAGAGGAAAAGAGAGCCCTCAGCCGGGAGATCATCGTCCTGAACAACCACCTCATGGAGGCGAAGATTACCATTAATAAACTCAGAGAGGACAATGTGAGTATTCAGGGCTGCATCATGTATTATGGGCTCACACTGACATCCCTGTCAGCACTGTGCAATAACCGAAAGTAAGGTTTTTGTAACTCATTTGTACAATATCTGAACTTTTTTGTGTGATAAGACTAAGGCCAAATTATATTCACCTGCAGGCTCACAAATTAAGCAGTATCCTGGGGCATTCAGGGCCACAGAGATGTGGGGCCCTGGGGCAGTTGCTTTCCTTGCTTTCCTTGCTTGGTCAGTAAACCAGCCCTGTTAGCACCTACAAAAAAGAGTTGTCTTGCAAGAATGAAATAACAACTTGTCAAAAATCTGTTTGTCGTGATAGAAACACCTTCTCCTGGCACACTGGCACCAGTCTCTGTGAACCCACTCTTGTTCATATCCACTGTATTTCAGCAACATCCTGGATAATTGTGCTTCAAGGAGCCACAGCAGATAGAGGAATTAACTCTAAACCACTGGGTGTTTTATAGTGATTATCATGAAATCAATGGACATCCTCAGGGCTGCCAGAAGTTGGTGCCGGGGCCGTGTGGATCTGAGCTCAGGGGCATGTGGCAATGGTGCCTCACTTTCTTTGATGTGATTTTACTGTTATTTCTACTGGGGGCTCCAGGTTAGGTTAGATTTTCTCTCCTTGGTCCATGGCAGTTTTTAGCACTTCTGAGCTATAGAGCATTTTGACAATCCCTCCAGATCCGTCCAGGCTGATTGGGTCAGGGATCATTTTAAATGGGTGGAGAATTTGTCCAACCAGAGCCAGCAGTGAGGCAGGCATTTTCTCCAGAGAGCAAGCTCTGAATTTATTGTTTGTAATATGGAGAATGCAAGTCATGTTTCACATGTGTCATACCGAGTCCTGACGGGAAAAGCAAATATATTACATTAAATGAAATGTAAGAAATTTTATTTCTCTTGTGTGATAAATCCATTTAATCTACAATAGGTTATTGTGATGGATGGATTACTGAACAGGGCTAAAAGGCACAGACCCAGGGTCCAAAGGAGTCAGGGGGCCATGGGGTCAGAGCCTATGTTTGAAGTGAGCAAAATGAGCACAGAGACACAAAAAAAGACCGTAAACAGATGCAAAATAACCAAAAAGAAATGCTAAATGACAGCAAAGAGGCGTAAAGCAGCCACAAAGAGACTCAAAATAACTAATACAAGCACAAAAGGACAATATGAAAAAAACAACAACATAAAGGACACAAAATCGAAAAGCCTTGTCATTTCTTGTCATTTTGTCTATTTCACTTTGAATCATGCTCCTATGTAGGAGGAGTGGGAGGCCCTCTACATGTCTGTACCCAGGGGCCCATTGTCTCATTATCCTTCCATGCATGTTACTAGTTAATTGACTGCAAGAATACCAGGTTTATATAAAGCCACAAGAAACTGTCATTACTGCATTTTAAATACATACAGTACATTAAGACCTCATCTTCAGACCTCAAAAAAACTGGCTCGAAGCTGTGGTTGTCTCTCCCAGGAGAAACACACCACACCAGTCATGTTAACTAAGATATCACTGAGGTCTCACAGGTCTATTTGAACCAAAGGCATAGGTTTGTATATATATGGACGGTAGGGACATGTCCCTACCAATATTTTGGGAGAACAGAATTCTCCATTACAATATTTGAGTGAACTCATTTGTACTATGTTTGGATTGAAGTCATATTAGAACATTTTTATGTCTTGCTATAATATGACGTTTTTATGCCATACTATACTATGACGTTTTTATGCCTTTTTATGCCTTACTATACTATGACATTTTTATGCATTTTTATGCCTTACTATACTATGATCTTTTTATGGCTTTTATGCCTTACTATATTATGATTTTTTATGACTTTTTGTGTCTTACTATACTATGACGTTTTTATGGCTTTTTATGCCTTACTACACTATGATGATTTTAAGACTTTTTATGCCTTACTATACTATGATTTTTTGTGCTTTACTATACTATGAAGTTTTGAGGATCTTTTTAGTCCTTACTATACTATGAAGTTTGTATGAATTTTCACGCTTTAATATGATATGACTTTTTATGCTTTAGTATTCTGTGATGTTCTTTTGACTTATTATGCTATATTATACTATTACATTTTTGTTCCTTTTTATGTCTTACTATACTATTACTTTTTATGACATTTTTATATCTTACTAAATTATGAGGATTTTGAGACTTTTTATGCCTTGCTGTACTATGACTTTGTTATGCCTTTTTGTGCCTTACTAGAATATGTTGTTATTATGACTTTTTATTGCTTGCAATACTATGACTTTTTATGTCTTGCAATATTATGACATTTCTATGCCTTACTAGACTATGACGTTTTTGACTTTTTATGCCTTACTACTAGACTATGATGTTATTATGACTTTTCATGCCTTACTATACTATGACGTTATTATGAATTTTCATGCTTTAATATACTATGACGTTTTTATGACTTTTTATGCTTTAGTATCCTATCATGTTCTTTTAACTTTTTGTGCCTTACTTTACTATGACGTTTTTATGACTTTTTATCCCTTACTAGACTGTGTCATTTTTATTACTTTTTATGCCTTACTATACTATGAGTTTTTTATAACTTTTTATGCTTCATTGAAATGATGATTTCTCATGACAGAAAGAAGAAAAAGAATACAATCAGACCAACGATTCAACACTTTGATATGGCAGGTTTTATTTGTGCATGAAGGACAGATCCGGTACAAGGGACACCAAGGTCTCTCTTTTAGGAACAAAACTTTGTCTGCTTGTTTGGTCTTTTACTCTCTGATGGGCGTGACAAGCTGATGTTCATCTGGAGATCTTCATGTCCATGGGGCCTCTTAGCTGTTAATCATCCTTGTTCAGAACACCTGACATCATTCTCCATCCGTAGGGATCTAACAATTAAAGCAAACACAAACATTCTTGGATCCAACCAGGACCCCCAGATGTTTCCTAAATAACTCCATTTCCTACACATATATACACTTAAACATCATTCATATTCTAGAGTCAAACTTATATGCATGTAAGAAAATTAATATCTTACACTATTCTATGTCTTACTATGATTTGAAGTTTTTATGCCTTTTTATGCCTTACTATACTATGATGGTTTTTACCTTACTATACTATAATGTTTTTGTGACTTTTTATGACTTACTATACTATGATGGTTTTATTCCTTTTTATGCCTTACTATACTATGATATTTTTATGCCTTTTCATGCCTTTATGTTATGACATTATTATGCTTTTTTATGCTTTACTATACTATGGCATTTTTGTGTCTTTTTATGCCTTACTATACTATGACTTTTTTATCACTTTCTGTGTCTTACTACACTATGACATTTTGATGCTATTTCATCCCTTACTATTGTATGATATTTTTATGCATTTTCATGCCTTACTATACTATGACGTTTTTATGACTTTTCATGCCTTATAAAACTATAATGTTTTTATGCCTTACTATACTATATCGTTTTTTTGACTTTTTATGCCTTACTATACTGTGACGTTTTTGTGGTTTACTATACTATGTCGTTTTAATGACTTTTTATGCCTTACTATATTATGACGTTTTATGACTTTTCATGCATTATTATACTATAACGTTTTTATGCCTTTCTATAACATGTTATTTTAATGACTTTTATTAACTTACTATACTATGACGTTTTATTGACTTTTCATGCCTTATTATACTATAACGTTTTTATGCCTTACTGTACTATGAAGTTTTTATGCTTTACTATACTATATCGTTTTAATAACTTTTTATGCCTTACTATACTATGACGTTTATTGACTTTTTATGCCTTACTATACTATGACGTTTTTATGCTTTAATATACTATGTCCTTTTAATGACTTTTTATGCCTTACTATACTATGTCGTTTTAATGACTTTTTGTGCTTTACTATACTATGACATTTTTTATGCTTTACTATACTATGTCCTTTTAATGACTTTTTATGCCTTATTATATTATGTCGTTTTTATGACTTTTTATGCCTTACTATACTGTCGTTATATTGACTTTTATGCCTTACTATACTATATCGTTTTTTTGACTTTTTATGCCTTACTATACTATATAGTTTTTTTGACTTTTTATGCTTTACTATACTATGTCGTTTTATTGACTTTTTATGCCTTACTATACTATGACGTTTTATTGACTTTTATGCCTTACTATACTATATCGTTTTTTTGACTTTTTATGCCTTACTATACTATATCGTTTTTTTGACTTTTTATGCCTTACTATACTATGTCGTTTTATTGACTTTCATGCCTTACTATACTATGACGTTTTTTGACTTTTTTATGCCTTATTATACTATATCGTTTTTTGACTTTTTATGCTTTACTATACTATGTCGTTTTATTGACTTTTTATGCCTTACTATAATATGACGTTTTTATGCTTTACTATACTATGTCCTTTTAATGACTTTTTATGCCTTGTTTTACTATGTTGTTTTAATGTTTTTTTTATGCCTAACTACACTATGACGTTAGGGACTTTTTATACCTTGTTTTACTATGTTGTTTTAATGTCTTTTTATTCCTTACTATACTATGTCGTTTTTTTTACTTTTTATGCCTTACTATACTATGACGTTTTGGTGACTTTTTATGACATGTTTTACTATGTTGTTTTAATGTCTTTTTATGCCTTACTATACTATGTCGTTTTCATCACTTTTTATGCCTTACTATACTATGTCGTTTAAATGATCTTTTATGCCTCACTATACTATGACATTTTTATGCCTTACGTCTTTTTAATGACTTTTTATGCCTTACTATACTATGACGTTTTGGTGACATTTTATGACTTGTTTTACTATGTTGTTTTACTGTCTTTTTATGTATTATTAGACTATGCCGTTTTTATGACTTTTTATGCCTTACTATACTATGAAGTTTTGGTTACTTTTTATGCCTTGTTTTCCTTACAATACTATGACCTTTTATTACTTTTTAGTACTTACTATATTATGACATTTTTATGACTTTTTATGTCTCACTATACTATGATGTTTTTATAACTTTTTATGCCTTACTATACTATGAAGTTTTTATGCATTACTACACTATGACGTTTCTTACCTTACTATATCATGGCGTTTTTTTATGACTTACTATACTATGACTTATTTTATGCATATATGATTTTACTTCATACGTACATATATTTCATACATGGAAATTCATCACATTTGTGTATGACCATTCCTGAATGTAAATTCAGATCTTATATGTTCATAAACTATTTGGCTGATTGCACTAAAAAGCCAATCACTTTGTTTTGGAGGGGTGGCGGGGTTGTTGCTTCCTTACCAATTTTGAGGCAAAACCTACACCCTTTATTTGAACCATCCACAAAGCTACAGGGAGCCCGAATGTCCCCTGGTGACAGAGTGAAAAGAAATAAAGTGATTCAAAAAGCAGACACTGTTAACGGGTGGGGGAATTGAAACTGTCAAAGAGAAGGCTTTGATGTTATGGGAATTATTGTCAGGAGGAGGCTACAGTGCCGCAAGAACTGACCTTATAAGTGGACAGATTTGACAGAGGAGTTAGAGGAAAAGACACCAGCTAACCACCCACACAAAAACATGCATGCTTAGAAAGAGGGAAAACAACTAAACCGAGCATCTGCTGTGCCAGTAGACCACCCTCACTCTGCTCTGAAATTTAACTACAAATCATAAAACCATCCATTACAAAAAGAAAGCACAGAGAAAGGGATAAATAATGTGCACTCACTTCCTAGACTGGAGGTTGGAGATAAGTGAATGCATTGTTTCAGAAAACTCTATAAAATTAGCACAGAGTGTACTGGGCAGATGGAAGACTCATTACAAATGAAAAGGTTTGGTAGCGTTGTTAACAGCATGCAAACCCCTGATGTCAACCCAGTGAAAAAATATAGCCATGGTGAAAAATACATGTTAACTAAACACGTTAATTAAACTGCTCCAGCTTCAATGGATGAATTTGTTACTATGTTGTTTTAATGTCTTTTTATGCCTTACTATACTATGTCGTTTTCATCACTTTTTATGCCTTACTATACTATGTCGTTTAAATGATCTTTTATGCCTCACTATACTATGACATTTTTATGCCTTACGTCTTTTTAATGACTTTTTATGCCTTACTATACTATGACGTTTTGGTGACATTTTATGACTTGTTTTACTATGTTGTTTTACTGTCTTTTTATGTATTATTAGACTATGCCGTTTTTATGACTTTTTATGCCTTACTATACTATGAAGTTTTGGTTACTTTTTATGCCTTGTTTTCCTTACAATACTATGACCTTTTATTACTTTTTAGTACTTACTATATTATGACATTTTTATGACTTTTTATGTCTCACTATACTATGATGTTTTTATAACTTTTTATGCCTTACTATACTATGAAGTTTTTATGCATTACTACACTATGACGTTTCTTACCTTACTATATCATGGCGTTTTTTTATGACTTACTATACTATGACTTATTTTATGCATATATGATTTTACTTCATACGTACATATATTTCATACATGGAAATTCATCACATTTGTGTATGACCATTCCTGAATGTAAATTCAGATCTTATATGTTCATAAACTATTTGGCTGATTGCACTAAAAAGCCAATCACTTTGTTTTGGAGGGGTGGCGGGGTTGTTGCTTCCTTACCAATTTTGAGGCAAAACCTACACCCTTTATTTGAACCATCCACAAAGCTACAGGGAGCCCGAATGTCCCCTGGTGACAGAGTGAAAAGAAATAAAGTGATTCAAAAAGCAGACACTGTTAACGGGTGGGGGAATTGAAACTGTCAAAGAGAAGGCTTTGATGTTATGGGAATTATTGTCAGGAGGAGGCTACAGTGCCGCAAGAACTGACCTTATAAGTGGACAGATTTGACAGAGGAGTTAGAGGAAAAGACACCAGCTAACCACCCACACAAAAACATGCATGCTTAGAAAGAGGGAAAACAACTAAACCGAGCATCTGCTGTGCCAGTAGACCACCCTCACTCTGCTCTGAAATTTAACTACAAATCATAAAACCATCCATTACAAAAAGAAAGCACAGAGAAAGGGATAAATAATGTGCACTCACTTCCTAGACTGGAGGTTGGAGATAAGTGAATGCATTGTTTCAGAAAACTCTATAAAATTAGCACAGAGTGTACTGGGCAGATGGAAGACTCATTACAAATGAAAAGGTTTGGTAGCGTTGTTAACAGCATGCAAACCCCTGATGTCAACCCAGTGAAAAAATATAGCCATGGTGAAAAATACATGTTAACTAAACACGTTAATTAAACTGCTCCAGCTTCAATGGATGAATTTGTTCTTTTGAGTTGACACACCGCTAAATCAATGAATTGCTCAGTCGAGTACCAGTGTTTCTGGAGAATATTCTCTATATACATTTATAAATTTCATATTATTAAGCAGTTGTTGCCCCAGTCATGCCATGTTTCTAGTTTTGTTTCCCCATGATCTATAATTAATTTATAAGTACCTCATAAATAGTAAATTATATGTATTTATTTATGTTTTACTTTTAGATGTATTGTTGCTATTGCTCAGCAATAGTTATCCATCACTGTGTCCTGAAATAAGTTCCCCCACAAGCCCCCCAATTTTACAAAATAATTAAACCACAATTAAAGGGCTATAATATAAAGTGTTACAGATTTTTCCCAAGGGCTTCCCCCTTGGTCAAAAGCTTACTCGTACCATCAGGCTGCCAAAGTGTTTTCAAAGCATGAGTGATTTAGGAAAATCTTTCTGCCTCTTACAGGACCTGTACAGGAAAGACTGCAACCTGGCAGCCCAGCTGCTGCAGTGCTCCAAGTCTCACTACAGAGCACACAAGATGTCTGAGGTGAGCTCCCCAGCACTACTGCTACAACTGCATTGATGTGTCAAGTCAGATCTGTGCTGCAGCAAAAAAGTTTCCTGACGTGAGATTTAAAATCAGTTTTAAACAATTTCAATGAAAAATACTTAATAATTAAAATACTGAAAGATGATATTACATTTTTAGTGTTTTACTCTTTGTACAGTAGCAAAGGGCTGAGAATGATCAAAATTTAGCAGCTTGATCAGGACTGTAGCGACCATTAAGGACTGAGATTAGGTTTAGTAATGTGAAGGCTATAAATAATACGTTTATAAAGAACAATTATTGATACTGGTGCCTATAAGACACCTTTCTTTGGAGAATATGAACATGTTTTTGATCCTTTGTACATACATACATAATACAAAGGTTGCCTTACCTAAACCAGGAAATATCTGATGAAACAATATATCTGATGGCCAAGCATTCGAAACTTAGTTTAAGTACTTGACAGTTTTCAATACTGAACACTAAAAACACATTTTGGTCGATGCTCAAAATGTATTATGGTTCAATACCCAGCCCATCAAGTGCTCAGCACTTTACCACTCGAATTTTATTCCTAGCCATTTGGAAAAGGCTTCTAAGGAGCATGTAGGCCATGTTAGGAAATAAAATTTACAAAAATGACTGTTACATAAAACATAAACAAATAATACAAAATTTAAGGGGGTGAGGACTGGGGGGAAACCTGGACTCATGGATCTCAGTATTACTAAAATCCTGGCTATAGTCCAGAGTTTAATCAATAAAACTACATCATCCATCACTGAGCCTGTGCTGTATATCGTTAGTGTACTAATGAAATTGAAATTCTCTCAGAATTATTCCTGTAATGGAGAGATGTTCCCCGTGTTGTGACGGTATACCATTAAAAGCCTTGGTGAGTGGTTTTCACAATAAGATGCAGTCACAGTGCTCATGGCCTCGTCAGTCAGACTGATGAAGGTCTGCTGTCTGAAGTGCCCTCTGTCTGCATCCTGCCTGTGCATAATAAGTGAATGAATCAATGAAAGGATGGCCTGAGATGACACCTAATGTACAAAAAAAAAAAGTTATACTCTAAAACAGGGCTGATAATTGGCATAAGTACTGTACACAGATACATTTGACATCATTAAATCATTGATGATGAGGTAAACAAAACAGGACAACAATGAATTCAACTCTAAAGAGATTAAATTTTCTGCTTTTCTTATAATTCAGATTTCATTTGAATAAGCACAGTGATGGACATGAGGGCAAAAACCCTGCAGTACAAAAACAATGCTGCTTTTTTATTTCCATGTCTTCTTGAGCTCATCAGCTGGTGAGGATATCACTGGACATGTATCTTTAGCCTCAATTATTTTTTAGCATCACAGCCATCATGTTCATATTTCAGACCCTTTTACAAACTTTTGGTTTTTCAAGTCAGCTGGAAACATTAAAAAGTCAGCTGGAGATGAAGTTTGTCAATTAACTAGGCAGATTTTAGCTTTGGCATTATCTTGCGCTTCCTAGCTATGCCTGATAAAAACCGCTTGCAATATTTGTCTTTTCAAATCATTGGCTGGAAATTATAAGGTGCTTTTGTTTACTTCTGTGTGAAATTGAAGACCAACTGTTTTAAAAAATAACTGTAAAATTTTGAGCTATAAATCTGCCATGTTATCATTGTGAACTGCATATGGGCCATGTTAAAACAGGAATTTGATCAGGCAACAGTAACTAAGTGGTTGCACTTTCTTGCTAATGAATTTAACTTATCTGTAAGAGGAAGAATCACTTTTTTTTTCTTCTTTCTGATGTTACATAGTCTCACTGTAAATAAAAAAAGGTTATAAAATGTAAAATCTTTTCAAATGTGGAGTATTTTGAACCTTTTACGGTGAAAATACAAAATGCCAGTTTCATCATACACCATTAAACCACTTATTTCAACAAGACCTGTGGACGTGTACACTGTCACATGGATTACCACTGCAGAACTATGTGACTCTTAATTAAAATTTGCCTCATATAGCAGCTAATGCTGAGCTAGCTTACTTGGAGCACAGACTGTATATTATCTTGTGCCCCCCCTTCAGCCTCACCTACTTTCCATCTCTAGTCCCTCTGGGGAGGCAGTGGCTGCTAAAAATAGCATCGACTTAAAAGATGCAGGTTATTTTATGCCGAGGCGAGCTTCTATTTCTTAACAAAGCCAAGTCAGTATTTTATCTTTTTTTTTCTATTCCCAGCTGGAGACCCAGAGCACTGGTTTAATTTGAATCTAAGCTGTTCCCTGTGGAACTGATATGTGTTTGATGGTAGACAGAAGAAAGAGACACTGAGAAAAAGAGAGAGAGAGAGGGAATGAGGGCTTTTTGGTTGAGAAGGCAGTGGAGCAAGAAGAGAAAGATGAAAGGATAAAGAAAGGGAGGAGAGAAGAGAGAACTCAGTGTGGCAGGAACAGCTCCTGCTGACCCTGACCAGCTTTAATAGGCACAAAGAACCAGTCTGTAATTGACAGGAACTGTTTTCTCAAACATGAGTCAATCAAACAGATTATGTGTCTGACTGTGTGAGAGAGAAGCAAGAGAAGGAAAAAAAGATTGAGAAAGAAAGACTGAGAAAGAGCAGAACAGAGAACATTTGGAAAAAGGAAATATTTATATATATACAGTAAATCAATATATATATATACAATATATATATAGATTTACTGTATATATATATATATACATATACACATACATAAACACACATTACATTTTTAAGTCGAAATACATCTCATTAAAAAAAAATACCTACTGCCTTAAAATGTTATATTTATTATATTTGTGTTCCGTAAGTATTTTTATTTAATGTATTAAATGCAACTGGAACACCACCACTATTAACATCTAAAACCTGTATTAACTGTTACTTCAAGCTGTGTTAAATCAGTGTTAATAATCTATAGACATTAATAATATCCATGGGACATCTGGTTGCATTGTTTTTGTTAGCAACTGTAANGTTTTTTGACTTTTTATGCTTTACTATACTATGTCGTTTTATTGACTTTTTATGCCTTACTATAATATGACGTTTTTATGCTTTACTATACTATGTCCTTTTAATGACTTTTTATGCCTTGTTTTACTATGTTGTTTTAATGTTTTTTTTATGCCTAACTACACTATGACGTTAGGGACTTTTTATACCTTGTTTTACTATGTTGTTTTAATGTCTTTTTATTCCTTACTATACTATGTCGTTTTTTTTACTTTTTATGCCTTACTATACTATGACGTTTTGGTGACTTTTTATGACATGTTTTACTATGTTGTTTTAATGTCTTTTTATGCCTTACTATACTATGTCGTTTTCATCACTTTTTATGCCTTACTATACTATGTCGTTTAAATGATCTTTTATGCCTCACTATACTATGACATTTTTATGCCTTACGTCTTTTTAATGACTTTTTATGCCTTACTATACTATGACGTTTTGGTGACATTTTATGACTTGTTTTACTATGTTGTTTTACTGTCTTTTTATGCATTATTAGACTATGCCGTTTTTATGACTTTTTATGCCTTACTATACTATGAAGTTTTGGTTACTTTTTATGCCTTGTTTTCCTTACAATACTATGACCTTTTATTACTTTTTAGTACTTACTATATTATGACATTTTTATGACTTTTTATGTCTCACTATACTATGATGTTTTTATAACTTTTTATGCCTTACTATACTATGACGTTTTGGTGACATTTTATGACTTGTTTTACTATGTTGTTTTACTGTCTTTTTATGTATTATTAGACTATGCCGTTTTTATGACTTTTTATGCCTTACTATACTATGAAGTTTTGGTTACTTTTTATGCCTTGTTTTCCTTACAATACTATGACCTTTTATTACTTTTTAGTACTTACTATATTATGACATTTTTATGACTTTTTATGTCTCACTATACTATGATGTTTTTATAACTTTTTATGCCTTACTATACTATGAAGTTTTTATGCATTACTACACTATGACGTTTCTTACCTTACTATATCATGGCGTTTTTTTATGACTTACTATACTATGACTTATTTTATGCATATATGATTTTACTTCATACGTACATATATTTCATACATGGAAATTCATCACATTTGTGTATGACCATTCCTGAATGTAAATTCAGATCTTATATGTTCATAAACTATTTGGCTGATTGCACTAAAAAGCCAATCACTTTGTTTTGGAGGGGTGGCGGGGTTGTTGCTTCCTTACCAATTTTGAGGCAAAACCTACACCCTTTATTTGAACCATCCACAAAGCTACAGGGAGCCCGAATGTCCCCTGGTGACAGAGTGAAAAGAAATAAAGTGATTCAAAAAGCAGACACTGTTAACGGGTGGGGGAATTGAAACTGTCAAAGAGAAGGCTTTGATGTTATGGGAATTATTGTCAGGAGGAGGCTACAGTGCCGCAAGAACTGACCTTATAAGTGGACAGATTTGACAGAGGAGTTAGAGGAAAAGACACCAGCTAACCACCCACACAAAAACATGCATGCTTAGAAAGAGGGAAAACAACTAAACCGAGCATCTGCTGTGCCAGTAGACCACCCTCACTCTGCTCTGAAATTTAACTACAAATCATAAAACCATCCATTACAAAAAGAAAGCACAGAGAAAGGGATAAATAATGTGCACTCACTTCCTAGACTGGAGGTTGGAGATAAGTGAATGCATTGTTTCAGAAAACTCTATAAAATTAGCACAGAGTGTACTGGGCAGATGGAAGACTCATTACAAATGAAAAGGTTTGGTAGCGTTGTTAACAGCATGCAAACCCCTGATGTCAACCCAGTGAAAAAATATAGCCATGGTGAAAAATACATGTTAACTAAACACGTTAATTAAACTGCTCCAGCTTCAATGGATGAATTTGTTCTTTTGAGTTGACACACCGCTAAATCAATGAATTGCTCAGTCGAGTACCAGTGTTTCTGGAGAATATTCTCTATATACATTTATAAATTTCATATTATTAAGCAGTTGTTGCCCCAGTCATGCCATGTTTCTAGTTTTGTTTCCCCATGATCTATAATTAATTTATAAGTACCTCATAAATAGTAAATTATATGTATTTATTTATGTTTTACTTTTAGATGTATTGTTGCTATTGCTCAGCAATAGTTATCCATCACTGTGTCCTTAAATAAGTTCCCCCACAAGCCCCCCAATTTTACAAAATAATTAAACCACAATTAAAGGGCTATAATATAAAGTGTTACAGATTTTTCCCAAGGGCTTCCCCCTTGGTCAAAAGCTTACTCGTACCATCAGGCTGCCAAAGTGTTTTCAAAGCATGAGTGATTTAGGAAAATCTTTCTGCCTCTTACAGGACCTGTACAGGAAAGACTGCAACCTGGCAGCCCAGCTGCTGCAGTGCTCCAAGTCTCACTACAGAGCACACAAGATGTCTGAGGTGAGCTCCCCAGCACTACTGCTACAACTGCATTGATGTGTCAAGTCAGATCTGTGCTGCAGCAAAAAAGTTTCCTGACGTGAGATTTAAAATCAGTTTTAAACAATTTCAATGAAAAATACTTAATAATTAAAATACTGAAAGATGATATTACATTTTTAGTGTTTTACTCTTTGTACAGTAGCAAAGGGCTGAGAATGATCAAAATTTAGCAGCTTGATCAGGACTGTAGCGACCATTAAGGACTGAGATTAGGTTTAGTAATGTGAAGGCTATAAATAATACGTTTATAAAGAACAATTATTGATACTGGTGCCTATAAGACACCTTTCTTTGGAGAATATGAACATGTTTTTGATCCTTTGTACATACATACATAATAGAAAGGTTGCCTTACCTAAACCAGGAAATATCTGATGAAACAATATATCTGATGGCCAAGCATTCGAAACTTAGTTTAAGTACTTGACAGTTTTCAATACTGAACACTAAAAACACATTTTGGTCGATGCTCAAAATGTATTATGGTTCAATACCCAGCCCATCAAGTGCTCAGCACTTTACCACTCGAATTTTATTCCTAGCCATTTGGAAAAGGCTTCTAAGGAGCATGTAGGCCATGTTAGGAAATAAAATTTACAAAAATGACTGTTACATAAAACATAAACAAATAATACAAAATTTAAGGGGGTGAGGACTGGGGGGAAACCTGGACTCATGGATCTCAGTATTACTAAAATCCTGGCTATAGTCCAGAGTTTAATCAATAAAACTACATCATCCATCACTGAGCCTGTGCTGTATATCGTTAGTGTACTAATGAAATTGAAATTCTCTCAGAATTATTCCTGTAATGGAGAGATGTTCCCCGTGTTGTGACGGTATACCATTAAAAGCCTTGGTGAGTGGTTTTCACAATAAGATGCAGTCACAGTGCTCATGGCCTCGTCAGTCAGACTGATGAAGGTCTGCTGTCTGAAGTGCCCTCTGTCTGCATCCTGCCTGTGCATAATAAGTGAATGAATCAATGAAAGGATGGCCTGAGATGACACCTAATGTACAAAAAAAAAAAGTTATACTCTAAAACAGGGCTGATAATTGGCATAAGTACTGTACACAGATACATTTGACATCATTAAATCATCGATGATGAGGTAAACAAAACAGGACAACAATGAATTCAACTCTAAAGAGATTAAATTTTCTGCTTTTCTTATAATTCAGATTTCATTTGAATAAGCACAGTGATGGACATGAGGGCAAAAACCCTGCAGTACAAAAACAATGCTGCTTTTTTATTTCCATGTCTTCTTGAGCTCATCAGCTGGTGAGGATATCACTGGACATGTATCTTTAGCCTCAATTATTTTTTAGCATCACAGCCATCATGTTCATATTTCAGACCCTTTTACAAACTTTTGGTTTTTCAAGTCAGCTGGAAACATTAAAAAGTCAGCTGGAGATGAAGTTTGTCAATTAACTAGGCAGATTTTAGCTTTGGCATTATCTTGCGCTTCCTAGCTATGCCTGATAAAAACCGCTTGCAATATTTGTCTTTTCAAATCATTGGCTGGAAATTATAAGGTGCTTTTGTTTACTTCTGTGTGAAATTGAAGACCAACTGTTTTAAAAAATAACTGTAAAATTTTGAGCTATAAATCTGCCATGTTATCATTGTGAACTGCATATGGGCCATGTTAAAACAGGAATTTGATCAGGCAACAGTAACTAAGTGGTTGCACTTTCTTGCTAATGAATTTAACTTATCTGTAAGAGGAAGAATCACTTTTTTTTTCTTCTTTCTGATGTTACATAGTCTCACTGTAAATAAAAAAAGGTTATAAAATGTAAAATCTTTTCAAATGTGGAGTATTTTGAACCTTTTACGGTGAAAATACAAAATGCCAGTTTCATCATACACCATTAAACCACTTATTTCAACAAGACCTGTGGACGTGTACACTGTCACATGGATTACCACTGCAGAACTATGTGACTCTTAATTAAAATTTGCCTCATATAGCAGCTAATGCTGAGCTAGCTTACTTGGAGCACAGACTGTATATTATCTTGTGCCCCCCCTTCAGCCTCACCTACTTTCCATCTCTAGTCCCTCTGGGGAGGCAGTGGCTGCTAAAAATAGCATCGACTTAAAAGATGCAGGTTATTTTATGCCGAGGCGAGCTTCTATTTCTTAACAAAGCCAAGTCAGTATTTTATCTTTTTTTTTCTATTCCCAGCTGGAGACCCAGAGCACTGGTTTAATTTGAATCTAAGCTGTTCCCTGTGGAACTGATATGTGTTTGATGGTAGACAGAAGAAAGAGACACTGAGAAAAAGAGAGAGAGAGAGGGAATGAGGGCTTTTTGGTTGAGAAGGCAGTGGAGCAAGAAGAGAAAGATGAAAGGATAAAGAAAGGGAGGAGAGAAGAGAGAACTCAGTGTGGCAGGAACAGCTCCTGCTGACCCTGACCAGCTTTAATAGGCACAAAGAACCAGTCTGTAATTGACAGGAACTGTTTTCTCAAACATGAGTCAATCAAACAGATTATGTGTCTGACTGTGTGAGAGAGAAGCAAGAGAAGGAAAAAAAGATTGAGAAAGAAAGACTGAGAAAGAGCAGAACAGAGAACATTTGGAAAAAGGAAATATTTATATATATACAGTAAATCAATATATATATATACAATATATATATAGATTTACTGTATATATATATATATATATATATATATATATATATAAATATCTGAGAAATATTTAAGTTGACTTGAGATGTGAACAACTTATACTATTAATATCCATATTTTTTTTATGGAATGACAAATGGGAGATAAGTGAACAACAGAAAAAACTGTTGAAAAAGGAAAACGCTATAGTGTTCGGGACAAAGCAAACAAATAAATGAACTGACAATTTTCTGACAAGTTCATTAGAAGGGCCGATTTGTGGAACTCCCCTGAGATACATGAACTTGTCTGGACTGTGTGGGCTTTGTGAGAATGAATTACTTTCTAAACCAGAACCATAGACTGAAATCCTTGAGGAGCAGTTCTAAAATTACCTTCAGTACTGACACAGAAAGCATAGAATATGTTTGAGGAAGAGATTCATGTTGATTGTATAAATAATTTAGAAAAAGATGTAGAGGAATTTTACATTTTAGAGCTTCATTGGCGAAATCTGAAGACTGGCTCACTCAGCAGTCACAATTTCTACAAAACAAATCTGTGTAAGTCTTAGCTTTAATTTCTCATCTTCATCATACTTTTGTCTTTTTGCATATCTGTCTTCCAGTTGCCGTTGGATTTCCAGGAACGCATCAGTTCCCACATGGAGAAACATAACCGGGGTAGTGGAGCCACCATGGCAATGTGTCACTCCAATTACTCCGACGCTGTGCCCACATCCATAATTGCCAAGGTACTGGAGAAGCCCGAACCAGGAAGCAGTTGCCCTGTAACACGATCACCAAGCCCGCAGCCGCAGGATGGAGACTTTCTTACAGGAACAGGGAGCACTGATCACTTGACCCGGCGCATTTCGTATAAGACATCTGATTTGTACTGCAGCGATACAGCCCTCTACTGCCCTGAACGATGGCAAGACACAGAGCGCAGGCAGAGCGTCGACCTTCATGGCACTGGACTGCTTCAGCTCCACGCCCAGAACTCCACAGACAGTAACCCAGACGAAGATGCCTACCACTCCGGAAGTTTCTCCCACCATGAACCTCCATCTTCCTTTCACCACCATGACGAGTTTGGCACTGGCAGCCTCCCTGCTTCCAGTTCTTACTCCAGCTTCAGCCTGGCATCAGATGAAAAGGGAGGAGTTAGTGCTGGTTGTGGGCGCACTGCCAGTAGCACCTTATCCTCTTCCCACCAGGGGCTCTATATGGACTGGCGAGATGGTGGCAGTGGGGAATATGAGCGCAAAAGCATGTCTTCGTATGATAAAGACAGCCCAAGCTTCCCTAAGTCCCACAGCATCCAGCACATGGTGACCTCCAGGAGCCCGCAAAAGGGCACCTCACCAGCGTACACGAGGACAGCTTCATGCTTCAGTGAACCATACCACTCCAGCACCCCTCGCCTGGCCTCTTCTCACAGTATGGGGTCCACAACTGGACTGGGCCAGGCTCGAGGCGGAGCTCTGGACAGCCGAGGTGACGTCCAGGTGTCTGAGGATGAGCTGAACAGCCGTTGGAGACAGCTTAGTGTGGAAGACATCAACGCCTTCTCATCTTCCTATCGTAACATCACAGGTCGGGTGTCTCCGTACAGTTTCTCTGAGCGCCACTTTGCCATGGGCCCCTCCAGTAAGGTCAAGGGGTCTCTCTACAGCAGCTTCCAAGAAGGAGATCATGTCTTCCATAGCCGCATGCTGGACCAGTGCTTTGCTGTGGGTCCCCCTTCACCCAGCCGCAGCCCCAAACCTATGGAGCATCGTAAGCAGGAGAAAACTTCTGTGCTGTATAGAGCCAAGGATGACAGTCAGGACTCAGAGTGCAGTCTTTTCCTCTCAGGGAGCTCTAAAGACAAAGAGAGTAGCGGGGGAGCGACAGCAGCAAGCAGCGCCAAGAAAGACTATATAAATCTGAGTGCAGACAGCTCAGCTGAGTCTTTACATCAAAGCTCCCTTGAGGCCTCAAGTCTTCAACACTACCCTAGCCCCCGGCCGAGCGTCCGGCCTCGTCCGAGCTCCAGCTCGGCTCTCAGCATCGGTCCTGCACTCCCAAAGAAGACCTCTCCAAGATACCAAAAATTTGGCAGCACGGGACTGACGAGGAAGGACAGTTTGACCAAGGCGCAGCTATACGGTACACTGCTGAACTGAACAGAGAAAGAGAGCTATTCATTTTATGCATGATGATGATGATGATGATGATGATGATGATGGTGATGATTCCTAACTTACTGTACTGTACTGTATGTCTCCCTGCAGCAAACATACATGGTGTGATGGGATATTAAGATGTTGCTGTTTTATGTATCTCTTAGCCAAGGCACGTTTCATGCAGTCTGCAACACCTTTTCTATTGTGCGTCATGATACAGTGTAGCTACCTGAGACCAGCTATTCAGTATGTTTTTGTTCAAGTTATGATGATAATTATAGCCACTGGGATAAAACCATATTCCCTAAGACATTCAGCACAGACCCATGAACATACTGTGCTATTTGCTTTTTCTTTTTTTTTTGTGTCGAGTACTGTTAGTAAAACCAGCAAAAGACCATTTATTCCTGCTTTAATATATACAGTACAGATAATAGGCTAAAGTGTGTGTAATGGAGTGACAATAATTACTCATGTTTGGGAGAGGCTAACTATTATGTACAGTGGACCCTGCTAACTGCAAGCTGTTAAAAAGATTTATCCATTCTCTATTTTATCTTAAAGAAAAAAATGCATGCTGTATAAGGCACATAAATAAGATGGGAAAACACATTTCCAGCTAAATTGTTTCTCATAGGGACATTATCTGTAAGCACCACTTACTACAAGCGACATATTTCATAAATATTTTCAAATTGGCTGCACAAACGATATTAAAAATTCCTGATACTAGATCACACTTGTTAATCAGAAAGTTAAATCCCCTGATTTTGTTTGTTGGTATACTAGTTCTAAAAAATATATATATATATATATATATATATATAAGTCTATAAAACAATTACAGTATTTTGCTAGAAATGTACAAATAAAACAATGTAAGCATTCAGTAGAAATGAATACACATGAATTAAAGAGTAATATAGTGAGGATTCAGATGAGCTTCAAGATTTTTAGCATTTACTCAGCTTGAATTTTTATTATTTTTATATCAAAACGAGATGAAGTCTGAGACTGAACTGCACAGTAGTCACCGTTATACCAGGACACTTGTGAAACTGCCTTAATCCTGTTCAGTGGACTGAATGGTCTCCTTTACAGTATCTAACAACTGTGTACATAGTCTATATCTGCCGTATCTTTACTGTACATATACACTACTGCTACTGTCACTATACTGTTACTACATACAGCGTATGTTCTTCCCGTCAGATAACACACACATGGCCAGTTTCTTGGAGGAGGATTAAGTCTGTTCTTAAACTGGGGATATTTTTCAGTGGAGATATCCATTGAAATTTGTATTAGTTAAAGATGATGAGGCTTAATCCCTGTTTAGAAATCCGGCACACGCAGTTGAATTTCTACCCTGACTCCTCAACACTGTTGGCACCAGTTACACAAACCAAAACAAAAGTGCTGGTTGTTCTAGTTTTCAGCAGAGATTAATTGGAAAACTCTTCAGGCAAGCTGGCAGATCTGCAATGTGTGCACAAAAAGGAGGATAGGAAAGTTAACTGAACAGGTAGTAAAAAACAAAGCTGATTAAAGATAAAAATGTATAGTTAGTGTGTTGTTTTTAAACCAGCATGCTCAATTAGGCTATTTAGAGAAAACACTGTGAAACTAGACAAAGCGTGTATATATACGTACGTAGAAAGTGAGGACCCAGAGAGGTTGCCCTGCTGCCCCACAATCATGCTACCACTTGCTAATGTTACTAGTATAAATGGGGACAAAAAACAATGCTCCAATCTCTGTGCACCCTTTTGATGGATCTTGAAGGATTTCTTCCTGCCTGTGTAGCTCTATAGATCTGAGAGGAATGGCGATATGGATAAGATAAATAACGGGAACTCAGCTTTGCCCTTGACTAGTCATGCATTGATTCTTTTTTCTTTTTTTTTTGAGAAGGCCATGCTTCTACCTCTCATGCAGATCTGGGAACTGGCTTAAGGCTGTTTATAAAGATTTCAAAACTGCATCTCTTCTTTTTGACTTTGTCATGTTTATGAGGGTGAAACTGCACCACCACAGGCAACAAAAAGTCTCCAATCATATTCTTATTTAGTATACTGTATAGGTATCAAAAGGGTAAAAAAGGTTTTAAATTTAAATTAAGTTAAATTTAAGCACTTTGGCGAGGGGATTGAGAGGATACAGTATATGGTATTTTTGTGGTAGACATGATGTATAAAGAGATATAGATACTGCATACACATTTGTTATTACACTATGAATATTTTCTATCCAGTTTTCAGTTGATGTTATATTTATCGAATGTTTTAACCCTGGATGAAGAGGCTGAAGCATTTCTGTCCTGTCCTACCTCCAGCCCTGTTCCATGAACAACAGGCCAGCTGTCTAAATGTCAACATGTTTTGTCTGATGCATGGTTATATATTTTTGCTGTATGTTTATTTATTTAATAAAGATGGCTGTTGGGAAATACATTGCAGACATCTGTGGATATTATATTACTTTTCCTATTTCCAGGACCTTAAACCTTGAAGATCCTAGAAATGTCGGGATCTTCCTTGACTGATTATAGCTACTCCTTGTGTCACTGTGTCTTTATTTATCTCATTCTTAATTTCTTGGAAGTTATTTTTTGTTGTCCTGTCAAGATATAATACTCTAGCTGACATCTTCTTCCTCTTTAGCAAAGGTCAGCGTGATTATCAGTGATTAGCTGTGGAACTGTTACAGCCAGTGTTAAGTGTTTTGTCTCTTTGTTTTTTGTGTTGAGTTTGTTACGCATGTCTTTTGTCATGGCTCAACTCCTTCTATTGCTTTTAGAACAAATTTTCTATTGAGTTATTGTTATTTCAATCTGGTTACATGAAGAATTGTTGGCTGGACTGTAACAGCGGGGCCAGCCCTATAATCTGGAATGTCCCTGACTGACTCACTGAGTGATGATATTTCCACCATTGGCCCAGTTCCTCGTCACATCTCTGGATCAAACAGGTTCTATTTATGAAGGCCAAAAACATCACATAAGTATAAATAAATAAATAAATAAATGCCAAATTGAATTATAAAATACAAAAATAAACGCAAAATAAAAACATTTTGGTAATAAAAAAATACTAATTCTATATTTTTACATTTATTTATTTATGCATTTCTATATTTATTTATTTATTTTTGCATTTCAGGATTTATTTATGTATTTACTAATGTATTTCTACTTTATTTATTACTGTATCCGTATGTTAATTAAGTAGCCGGTCCTTCCATAGTCCATAGATCGATTGGATGGATCTGCTACCACTGCCTTGACTAGTACCCAGGAGCTTTGCCTTTCCAGTGTTGCCAAAGTGACTTTGACACTAGATTTAGCAATTTTTCTGAGTCTTTAGTGACATTTTTTCATGAAGCACCAAGCAACAAATCTAGTGACTTTTTGAACAAAATCCTTGAATACTTTCGATCAAGGGATCATGGGAGTTGTCCTTCGGTGTTATTTGTTCAGAAGGTTTTTATCAGGTGCTGAATTATCCACAGAGGTCTTCTCCTCTTCAAAACAAATGGACCATATGATTAAAATTGGTAAAAACACTGAATAAAGCAGTTTCACCTTAAAAATCATTATTTCTCTGACACTTTCTTTGATCCTTTGAAAATACACTTAATAAAATTGAATTGAGTAATTGAGTTTAATTGAGTAAATCAAATTAAATTTAAATTCAATTAGATTTACTCAATTGAATTAGTTTGAGTTGACTCAGTTAAGTTAAGTTTGATTGAATTTATTTACTTTAAAATTACATAATATTTGACCTTGTTTAATTCTCTCCTGTGTCTGATGGTAAGGTTAAACAAGGATCTTCTACTTGCTAACCAACTAGAACAACACAAAAACATAGCAGCTACTACAACACAGCAGCAGTGTTTACCAGTGTGGAATTTGCTTAGTGGCACTAAAGACAATTACGATGTCAATTTAACTATTATTAACTACAGTATAAACAACCGCAGGGGCTGGAAAAAGGGAAAAAAGTATTGAACCATTAAAATTTTCCTTACCGCCAAACAGCAATGTGTATTTTAAGGAGTGTTGTACAAGATACTGAATAAAGATCACACGCTTCTGTCTGCACTGAACTGCTCTGTTGTTGACTGGCAGGATCGTGGAGGAACCTGGCAGTGCTTTGACAGACTTCGACCTATTTTTTTTTTTCTTAAGTTTTAAGATCTCTGGTTATCTTTGTGATGCTCTAAGCTGTCAGTGTGAAAGGAAATGTCATATCAGAGCCAAGGAGAATAAAAAGCTATAGAGGAGAGTGATGTGTATGCATAATGTTCAATGAAAAACACTTCTGATTAGAAAATGCCCAAAGACATTTTTTTTTGTTTTAACGAAAACTTCAAGAATCAGGATGATGATGATAATGATGATGATCTCCCTAGCTGTATTTGGAGTGGAAAACTGAGTATAAAAGCACTGAGGTTGTGTGTGTGTGCAGCTAGACTGCTTTCCTGCCACCCACCACTTTAGATGAAACTCATAACAATAGTTCACTCTTTGAACTGTAAAGAAACTTCCTTTGATCTCACGCAGTGGAACTTCCCCTGATTTCAGGATTTCAAAACAATACAAGATGGGTCAAATATGAATAACATGTTTATATTAAGATTTACACATTAGTGACTGTTCTGTGCCATTATGACTTCATATCAAGTGGTATGAAAATATGGGTGGTTTTTAAAGTAATACAAAAACATAACAAAATACAGCGTAAAAATCTTTTTTTTATGGAAGAAGTTTACATCATCGTATCTCAACAGATTATGGGGGATAAAGTCTCGAAGATAGATGTGCACGGGTTTGCTGCTTAATACAGTCTTCTCTTGGCAAACCTGCTACATCCTATAACTTTTATCACTCCATATTCACTTGTTCATTCACAGTCCTCAGTGCCAGACCTTGATCTCACCGGCCCAGTCGCAGGTTGCCACAGTCGCAGGCAGGACAGGATGCTGAGACACACAGA